GATTGACAAGGAATCATAAAAAAACTTGGCATTTTCCAACGTTCCGTTTCAATAGCATGCGCTCAGACTAGCATTGGCTCGTATCCCACAACAGTTCCTCTGCTCCGGCAAAGGTCAGATCACAATAACGGGCTGGAGCAGAGGCTGGGGAGAAATACAGAGGATCAGGGCTTGGCGGCCTTTCCTGTTTTGACAAACGGCTACAATGACCTTTTTGGCGAGTCCAGTTCAGAAATGCTAACCAGGTCGCGTGTGAGTGTACAGGTGATGGGCTCGCCCAGAATAATTGGCTGTGGTGAAAAATGTTGCCTTATTACCGTCCCCAGAGGCTAATAGTGGTGCCAGAATGTGTGTCATTAACTATCCTGGTCGGCTAGTGCATGCTGGTGTAATGAAGATGATTGTATGGGAAACGGGAGGGGAGGGAATACTTAGAATATAAAAGCTGATATGACCCGGGTGATTAGTTTCTTCCACATATTAGCAATCACATTCTGTGTATGTAAATGAAGTGTGTAGCTGCTTCATTATCTGCATTACCTTCCCCCATAACTTTCAATATTGGTGGCTCTAAACAAACACAAACATTAAAATTGAATTACTGCCACAATTGTTGTGTTGATAACACTTTTATCTGCCATAATGGGCTGGTTTTTCAAATTAAAACTGGCTGTTGATGAGCCACCATTTCCATACAAAAATCTATTGGTTGATGGCTGTCCATTAACTAGGTTTTCAGAAAGCCAGTGTTAATAAAACATCACTATTCATTCCCACCAGCAACAGGTTTGCAAATATTCTAAAGAGGGCATAACAAGATCCAACCATCCAGAGAACATGAGCATTTCTTAGGAATTAAATAAGAAAGATTTGAGGCATTTGTAACTTACATGAATTTAGTTAGTTTTTATATTCAATTCATCTTTTGAATTTATCTTTTGTAGTTAGAAAGTTATGAAAATGCTCTGAAGATCATCCAGAGCACAGTTGACATCTTCATTTCCCTAATCTTCTCCATCCAACATTACAAAAAAAATATATATATATAACTTACAATGGAATGAAACTGAGAAAAGCAGCAATATTACTCACATCCCTAAAAATAAATTACACTGTTAATGGTTTGCGTTAGATTACATTCCTTAATAAAAACCTAAATGATTATATATATATAATAATATTATTATAAATATTATGAAGTGTTTACCTTTATGGATCGACTAATCAAGTAATGTTCTCTGTCTATGTGTCTTGTTTTGTTAAGGAATGCAACCATGGATACGGGACAACAAGGATGGATTCGATTCAATCCAATGAGCATTGCCCGCCCGGCCAAATAAGGTTTCTAGCTTCCCAGTTGACTTCTTTGTTAGGATGCCGACTCAATATGACAAGTGGCGTTTCTCCTACTTCCTATTGTGATGACGTCACTGATTTTGTATTTATTTTCTTGACTAGAGGAAAGTTTGACAAATATATGTACACCTTCATGAATCAAAAAGCATCATAGAAGCAGTCCTAATTGACCTGTTTGCAGCTCAAGGTGACATGGCAGCAGTTTTACAGTTTTCTCTTTCACAATGATGATCTATGAAGTCAATATTTGTTACACTACAAGGAGATTTTTCACTGCAATGCTAGTGGTGACACGGCAACATTTGGAAACAATGCTGGTATCAAGGTCTTATATTGAAATTCATGCATACATGCAACAGGTGGACTTAACAACTCCCATAATGCATCTGTATAGTGCCCAAAAGGCAATGTCTTTCAAAACTCTTAGACCCAGTTTTCACAAAGGCTCTCCAGTGTTTCCCCTATATACAAATATCCGCGCCGCTGCTAGGGGGCGCCAGCCAGGTACCCAAAAAAAAATAAAAAAATGTTTTTTTTCCTTTTAAAAAAAATAAATAATAATAAGTGGCGACCCTTTTTCATTTTTGATTGTTTGTTATGTGGATTTGTAGTATTTGTGTTTCTGTATGTTCAATAAAGGTGTATTTTTGCTAAATCTTGAGATATTGCCACTGTATGTACTAGGCAGGGCCGATTTTTGGCATAGGCATAAAATAAGTTACATTTATTTGTTATTGGCTATGGTAGGTTATTGGTTTTGTTCATATGCTTATTTGATTATTAAAATGTAAACCGATCTTTTTCATATGGGTGTTTTAGAGTTGTACCCCCTAGATCAGGTCTCTAGTTTGTGTGCTCAAAGTGCACCAGATTGAAGCATTTTACTTTAAAATGTTCAAAGAAATCTTCCCGGGGGGCATATTCATACAATACTGAATACATTTGAATCCATTTTGACATATATTACCTATGTCAATAAGTTTCTGTTTTTGTAGTGTATTTGTCTTTTGTAGAGATTTTTCATTTATTCTTTATATATAAAATCTCGCCTATGGCAGCAAATTGGCTAGAACCGGCCCTGGTACTAGGCCTCAAGAGCCTTTCTTGTGCTGGCAGACACATAGAAACAAATTGGCGGGGCGCACATCACACACTAAAAAATTCCCCGCGCTCCGCGCTCTGATTATACTGGGCCCACGTGCCTTAGCACCGCTGCTATGACTCCATCCTAGGAGAAACACTGAACTCTGTAATATTCATTCTCTAGAAACCCACACTGAGATAACACTGATGACAGCCACAAGGTTATATATCAGACCTTCAGAGCCCTGGGGGACATTATTTAAGAGTTTTCACAAAGAAATTAAATTACAGTGCAAATGCTTTAAAGCTGTCTTAGTAAAAAGAAAGGCTGATTTCCACACATCTAAAGATATTTTCACAAGCCTCATCACTCTCTGATTTGCATCATTCTGGCCAGTGATTGACGCATTTTTCACTAACTTGTAGTTTAAAAGTTACCTGTATAATCCATCATCCTAAACATGAAGCTTTAATTTAGTTTCCTTTTCATTGCACCCGAGTTGAGTTTTTCATATCAGCACTTCCTGTCAATCCACTGAAGTGCCTAAAAGTCCAAACAAACTTCACTGTATTATCCCTGCCTTCCTACTTTAAAAGTATTTTATAGCTAAATGAAAAACTACAGTGCATCCAATATGCATTGAACATTTATTATCTGAAATGTTCCTAGTATTTCACTTTGAATCACTATCTCTTGCTTTTCCAAGCCATGTATCCAGCTGTGATGCCTTCACACCTTTCACTGGATTGAAAAAGAGTCATTCATCATCTTCACTTTCCAGATAAATGTATAAACCACTCAACAAGAATACAAAAAATAGCCATTTATAACAAGAAGAATTGTACCAACAGGGATCTGAAGGCAAATCTTGATCAATATTAAAGGGATTTAGTTTGTAGAGGAACTAAACCCAGAGTTGTTAGCGTTGGTCAGGGATGTTTATTAAAGAATTAAGCCTCCTGTTTCCTAGTTGCTGACTGTGAAAGGAAAATGGACTGCCATTCCTCCACGTATCACTGAGGAGAGCGCTTACTACTCTCAGAGGAGGCGGCAGACGAGTGCCATCAATGTGGCACTCATCCTGCAAAACCAGTTTTAACAGCCCTTTGCACAGAGGATGTGACTCATGACTAACAGCAGCCACTGTAAATAATTTGGGGTACATTGAATTCTGATCAGAAGGCGCGTTGCATGTAAAAGCATGCAGAGCGGAAGAGATGATTCAAGAGAGTGAAAACATTCATGCAGAGTAGAAAGGGAATGTGCAAAAGTGTGTTCATGAGGCAGGAAGAAGGCATGGGGCCAATCAGATCATGTAACTCTGACATCAGTTTCAGCAACCTCAAAGTCGTCTATGTGCTTTACGGTCAATCTTGGTTTCCTTTTCGTGCTGGGATGATATCTGCTTCTTATTCCTCATTTAGTTTGTTTTCTCTAATCACTTAATGGTCCCCCACTAAATCTAATAATACTCTTAACGATGATGATGATAATAAGGAAAGCAAGTCTCACAGCGAGTGGCATGCAGCCGGAGCCAGCAGAGGGCCACGCAGGGTAATTACAAGCTGTGAGTAATTGCAAATATCAGGCCTGAGGAAGGAAGACAAACCAAACCCATTACATGTGGGGGGGGGAATTGTATTCTTTACCACATGTGACCTTAAGGTGCACTTAAGATGATTCTGACTTTTGAACTTTCTGATGGAAAACAAGTGCAGGGGGAATGTGAATGCAGAAATCCATAAAGTATCACTTGAGGATCAGTGTTTTATATAGAGAGGCGAAGTCCCTCCCTTTCCGGGGGAGCTCCATGGGACTTTATTTTGGAAAAAGTATGTATTGAAGTCAATGGACAGGGAAAGATTATCTTTCGATTCCGTTTGAATTGTGCCACAAATCACACATATGATGTTTGTCAATTTAAAAGATAATTTTGCAAGTAACATTTTTTTTTCCTAAAACTGTGAAGTAACACTTTTTCTGCGTGAAACCGCTCAATGTACATCTCCTGTCTCGCTCCACACACCAAGACGGCCGTCACGTTGGCACATTTCACTTCTTTCTTTCAGAATGAGGTGAAAAGTATTAAACAAGGTGAAAATCACTACAAGTCTGGGCATGTTGAGAGCTGTACATACACACAAGGGGAGTTAGTTCCGTAAGAGGCAGCATGCGGGACCGGGATTCTGGCATTTGTTTTTTTCATTTTGTATTTCAACAGTTTTAGGACAAACTGTGACTTTTTTGACATGGAATTTATTTTTTAAGATTGACAAACATCATATGTGCAATTCGTGGCACAATTCAAACGGGATCGAAAGATAAGTTTTCTTTCCCCATGACTTCAAATAGGCCTAATTTTTCCGAAATAAGGTCCCATGGGTCGGAAGTAGATGGGCGGGACTTCGCCATTGCTTTCTAATTAGGAGCAACTTCAGTGACATTGCTTATGTATCTGTATGAATTAAAATGACCCCAGGGAGTTGAACTGCTTTAAAGTTGTTTCCAAATTGGGAGAAAATGTTCAAACAAGCATTAACGAGTCGAACACGTGTCTTACCAAGCCCCACTCCGACGATCAGCCTCCCCGCCAGCAGGACCTCCTTGCCTGGGGCGGTGCTCAGCACAATCCCCCCGACGGCGAAGAAGAAGCTGGCCAGCAGGATGCACACCCTGCGCCCGAAGAGCCCGTTCAGGAAGCCCCCCAGCAGCGCAGATAGGGCGGCCGCGGCCACAGTACTCGATATCAGCAGCTCCTGCCACAGGGCGCTCAGCTCCATCTCCCGCTTCAGCAGCAACATGGCTCCGGAGATCACCCCGGTGTCGTAGCCGAACATGAAGCCCCCCAGGGCGGAGAACGCGGCCAGGAGGTAGACGAAACCCGGCGTGACATCCTGGGTGAACTGCTTGCGGGCAGCCCTCTCCAGGTCCCCGGTGGAAGAAGGAGGCAAGGCGGGAGCTCCGGCGGGGGGACCGGCGGGGGGAGCCGCGGCGGAGGAGGCGCCCTGGCTGCTGAGGCTGGCGCTGGACGGAGCCTTGATGAGACTCCGCTCCCCTCCGTCGCTCACTTTCTTCCACCGCTCGCCCATCCGGTTGCTCATACTACGCAGATTGTAGTCATGGTCGGACTGCTTTCGCGACATATGGGAAACACAACACAGCACAGGACAGGGCTGCTGAGTTGTATTTGATGCAAAAAAGAAATAAAAAACTAATTTAACCCACCCCACCCCCCTCAGTTTGGAGTTACCACCGCGTTAGTTATCCACAACCACCAGGTAGGCTATAACTGCTGGGTAAAGTTGTTCTCCAGCCGGGTGTGTGTTCGTGCGTCGCATCCCGTGGTCCTGATGGGAGAGTTGGAGAAGAGTGGGGAGGAAAGGTGAGATAGGAGGAGTGTAGTGGAGCAGATCGTCACCACCAGCGTCGGCATGACGCAAATAAATATTGTTTTGAAAGCATGATGCTTGAGTGGATCGCTTATGGCGACAATTAGGCTAAGCTTGCTGCAATTAAATGAAGTCTTGGACGTTATATACTCCAAATACAAAGCAATACTTTTGTTCAGGCTACTAAATGATCATCAGGATGCATGGCTTAATGCAAACAGTGGCATTGTTTTTGTATTTGAGTACAATCACAATCTAAATTGCATACTTATATAGATCGATATATATAACGGTATGCAATCACAGTATGTGTTTATAAATATAGCCTAGATTCTTAACGATGACAGATTTCATCTTGGCTTCATCTTGTGTTTCACCTGTTGTGCAGCAGGCTGACTATTAGGAACATGGCTGCCCCCTGCAGGTCTGACTCTGGTATTACCGATTCTGCATACAGTCACACACATTGAAAGTCCAAAAGGTCTACATTAATTATTAAATAACATCTCTATACAGCTGAGACATTTTTCTAAACATACACATTTATGATCTCAAAGAACTGAGTAGAGAAGGCATTTCAGTTATATTCTAGCCACTTGGTTTGACAAAAGATATAAAAAACGTGGGATTAATTCTAGAATTCTAGGAGATATACAGAATAATTGTACCTACTTTCATTTTTGGCCAATATGGGGATACACTTTCTGATTAATTGTGTACTCGTTTGTCCCATAATATATTTAAAAGGTGTTTATAAATAGCCTATCACAGTATTTGAAATCCCTAAATTAAAATGTCCAAATGTATTTTATTATTCACCCACAACCAAAATACATTTAGTTAAATATTGGGTACCACTTTACAATAAGACTACCCTTATAAAGGATTCATAAAGGGCTTATAATTAGGTTATTAATTAGGTTGTAAACACTTTATTAATCATTAAGAAGCATTTATAAACCAGTTCTCAAATAGTTTTCATACATCAACAAAGGCTCACTATTTGGCAAGATGACTAAGCCTTATATTGGCTACGTAGCTTACTTTGTCTTCTTCATCAGCCAACATCCTTGGTATCTGTTGTTCACAGAGTTGATTCCCCCCCTTCCATCTTGATGTTTCTTGGCATCTCTTTATGACCATTTATTTACGAGTTACTAAAATGTATAGTTGACAAAAGGGAGCCTTGTTGTATAGTGTAAAACACATTCCCATGTATTAATGAGTTACTACCATTTATAATAAGGCTTAGCAGTACAGATAAATGGGCTCACTATTTGGCAAGCAACCGGTCACAGTTGCCCTGAGGGCAACTGTGACCGGTTGCTTGCCAAATAGTGAGCCCATTTATCTGTACTGCTAAGCCTTATTATAAATGGTAGTAACTCATTAATACATGGGAATGNTCCCTAGACATTTTACTTACTTATTATCACCCTTTTATCTTATTTTATTCTTTTTACTTATTTATTTTTATTTATTGCTTTTTATTATTTTTACGATGTTAGCACTTCGGGATTTGAATGCAAATATGAAGTGCTTTATAAATTAAAGTCATTATTATTATTATTATTATATCTGTTCATTGATAAAGCAGAAAGTTGCAAGCAGCTATTGTCTGCGATCGCAGGATATAGTCTTGTTAGATGTGCCAAGAGTAAGGACTGTCTTAGGGAAGTCAGCTTTTATGTGCGCAGCTCCACTTGCTTGGAACAGTCTACAGGCAAAATTGAAATTGAGCATTTTTATTTCTCTGAATGTATTTAAGGCACGTCTAAATGAAATGCTTTCTGACACTCTGGGTATTTGTAAATGTTGAATATGTAAATATGATATCCTCTGTTGTTTGTTTGTTTGTTGTTTTTATGTTTCATGTGGAACTAAATGATGCAGATCTCCCTTGTAAATGAGATCGATGATCTCAAGGGACCAATCTGTCTAAATAAAGGTTTGAAATGAATACATTTTCTATATTCCCTGTTCATGAGTATTAGGAAATGTTATAGGTAGTGGACAGATCAGGGCTAAATCCCTTACCTAATTTCAGATAATCTGGATTGAAGGTTTAAAACGGATCTTAAAAATGATTGACACACATCACTGTCTTTAGGCCTTTACTCAGTAGACATCACAAGGTTAATTTCCTTAAAAGAGCCATTATAGGTTTCCCTCATCATGAAACCATGCGTACACAATAATGCGTGCAGGAAGCTCATCCCATTATTACCCTCCTTCTCTAATTGGCTCAATCATCCATTATCAGGACGTACTCAATCTCCTTTTTGTGGGACACCACTGTCCACATATTGATCCTCTCCACACATGAAAGCATTTGCAGCCATGTCATCTCTCCAGGCTGCAGCCATGCAGCATGTTCCCCCAGATTACTGTTCTGTGTTTCAAGCCTGATCAATAATGGAGAAGGAAGGTAAGGACAATGATTGAGTGTTCATAAGAGGGAGTCCACAACATGAGAGACGGGGGTTGTCATGGCCTCGTGAGGACATGTTGTTTGATCTTTAGCCTCGGGAGTTAGGCATTATTTTTGGCATAGATCTAGACTCTAAGAATTTGTTAATGTTCTTTTTCTTACATGATAATAAACTCACAGATACAGACCTCATCTTGTGCTTTGGGAAATAGGGATTGAAATGTTCTAGATCAGCGGTTTTCAAAGTGTGAGGCGCGCCTCCCCTGGGGGGTGCCAGAGAGCTTCAGGGGAGGCGCAGCGTGAGACACAAAAGAACGAGAGAAAGACGATAATAGTCCAAGTAGTGGGGGAGTTTTATACAATATGTTTAAAACATAAAAATAAAAAGGTTTAAAAAAGTTATTGTTTAATGTTTTAAGGAGGTGACGCTACTCAGCCAATCAAATCGGTGCAGTCAGCACGATAGATTCAAACACACACACACAGAGACGAGACAAGAGGAGAGAAACAGTCGGAGTAATTTCAAATGGCGGAAGGTAGACAGCGAAAACAGAGCATTTAATTACATTTTCTCTTACTGGACCTCTTTGAAATGCAATTGAATACCCCTGCATTATAGCAACAACAACAAAATAATAATAATAAATAATAACAGCAATAATAATTGGGAGGGGGGGCGCGGCTGTTCTTATGTTCTCTGAAGGGAGGCTCACCTACCCACACTTTGAAAACCCCTATTCTAGATCCAATTATTAATCAAATTACAATAACTGGCTTATTCATCATTACAAAAAAATGTGTAATTTGTTTTCCTTATTTCCAAGCACATTGTGTGGGTGTAGCTTCAGTCTGATGAGGTCGCTTTGACTCTGTATCAAAGTGAGGGTCAATATTTGATAGTTTCATTGTCTTATATAACCCTATTTGGTACCACTTTACAATAAGACTACCCTTATAAAGGGTTTACGAATAGTTTGTAATTCATTTGTTAATTAGCTTGTGAACACTTTATAAATCCTTCATAAGCTTTTATAAGACATGAGATAAACAGGGCAACTGTTACCGGTTGCTTGCCAAATAGTGAACCCACATGTATCTGTACTGCTAAGCCTTATTAGAAATGGTTGTAACTCATTTAATAAATGGGAATGTGTTTTACACTTTACAATAAGGCTCCCTTTTGGTCAACTATACATTTTAGTAACTCGTAAATAAATGGTCATAAAGAGATGCCAAGAAACATCAAGATGGAAGGGGGGGAATCAACTCTGTGAACAACAGATACCAAGGATGTTGGCTGATGAAGAAGATGAAGTAAGCTAGGTAACCAATATAAGGCTTAGTCATCTTGCCAAATAGTGAGCCTGTGTTGATGTATGAAAACTATGTTAGAACTGGTTTATAAATGGTTCTTAATGATTTATAAAGTGTTTACAACCTAANTGCTTTACAATTTGTGACAAATCTCAGAGCACTATGATACGCAGCATCTAGTTTGCTCAGGTAGTTGGCAGGTGCATTCATATACATCAGATCACCATAGTCCAGCACAGGTAAAAAAGTCACAGTGACTAGCCTTTTCCTGGCCTCAAGCGAGAAACAGGACTTATTCCTGAAAAAGAAACCTAGCCTAACCCTCAGTTTTTTAAGCAGGTTATTGACATGAAGTTTAAAAGAGAGACAGTCATCAAGCAAGATACCAAGGTATTTGTAACAGGCAACAACTTCAAGTTTTGTTCCTTGCGTTGATACAATATCTAAAACAGGCTCTGGTGTATAATCGGATTCCTATCAAATGTAATGAACATATGCATGTACTGTCAATCCTACTTATCCAATGTAGTACACAATGCAAAATAGGATCGATTATTGAGTCCCATAATAGGAAAGCTATTGAAATAATCATGACTTTCAATAACAAAAAACTGAATTTTCATTTAAAATATTTATTTAAAATAGAAAAAGCTCTAGAATCCAATAAGGAACGTAGTATGGGAAATGTGCACGAAGGTCCACGGCTCCATAGGCCTTAACACTTGTGCCCTCCTCGAATTTTCAACCTTTCGACCCCTTCGTGGCAAAAATGTACACGCCCCAAACAACTGCTATTAAATCATCATACATCAATATCATGAATCACTTAAACAACTTCTAACGTACTAAAAACTACCAAACATTCAATCATCTTCTGGATTTTAACCCTTTAAATGCCTGTTTCATTATTTGAATTATCTCCTTATTTGTCACGATCTGTCTGTGTTGTGTTTTGTCTTGTCTTTTTCTGTCTTTGGTTTCATGTTTTATTTTGAAAAGTCTTCACCCCCTGTCTTGCCTGTTGCTGTCTGTGGCCGTTTCTCAATCGCGAGGAAACTGGCTTCCAGCCAATATTTCAAGGATACTACGTCATCGACTGCCGCCGAAACGAGACCCTCAGTGTCCTCTCCACTTTCAGATGAAGAAAGAAATGCTGGACTCCAGAGAGCATTCTGTGTCAGACCCCCCCTCGAACCTTGTGTCTTCTTCAGATGAGTCCTGCAGC